TGGTTAAACATTGTTCTTATCCTGTGATTTTGTGTGTACCTACGTTTGATTTTGTTCTTAATTCAAATTTTAGTTTTCCCAAAATCATGCCAACATTATTTGCCAGCAGAAATAATTCCAATTGGCTATATTTACATATGACTCACAGCACAGTCCTCAGGCTGCAAAATTAGGTTATTGAAATCTTTATATATTTTGCTTCCCTTTTAATTTTTAACACTATTTATTAACATTGAGAAGATGATCTAATTTTCTACTCACTGCAATGCTTATTTATATTTTTTCATGGGATTCCAGATTAGTAAAACATGTTGTTTTATTTTATATCCTGTTTTGACTGTGATTTGTTGCCCATTCTTAGCCGGGGTTAAAGTTATTAGTAGCTTTAAAGCTTCAAACACAAATATGAATTATACCTACAATTTGGGATATAATTGTCAAAATGAGTCACCCATTCTATTTTAGACTTGGGAATTTGTTATATCCCAAGCTGTAATTTGTCTAAAATTGGGTCAATCAGGTGATCAGTTAAATTCCTGAACCCAGATCCAAAATGTACCCAAATAACAAAACAAAATGTGCAATGGCCAAGAATGTCCATTTTGGTTTGTGATTCTAAATTCCACCCTTGGCACCAAAAAAAGAGATGAATGATGGGAAAAAAGATGATTTATGGCTAGGAGACAATCAGTAAATGTTGATTTTATTAACTGATCAAGTAAGAAGTAAGCAATAGAGGAAAAAAAAAAAAAAGAAATCAAATTTATTTATTTTAGAGCTAAGAAATATATATTTTTTTACAGTTTTTTTCCTGTTTTCTCTCTGTTGGTTACTTTATTCATTTGTAAATATATACATAATATTATGTTGTGTATACATTTTTCAGTGCACTGACTGCCCAGTTTTTGCATCCATTTAGTTTCTCTGATACTGTTCCCAAAAATTCTTAATAAACTTCTTAATAAAAAGGTTGGGGTAGGGTTACGGTTGGGGTAAGGTTAGGGTTAGGGGTAGGACTAGGGTTAGGGATGGGGTTAAGTTTGGGGTAGGGTTAGGGTTGGGCTTAGGGTTGGGATTGGGCAAGGGTTAGGGGTAGGGTTAGGGGTAGGGTTAGAGTCAGGGTTGGGTTTGGGGTAGGGTTAGAGTTAGAGTTGGGTTAGGGGTAGGATTGAGCTAGGGTTGGGGTTTGGTTAGGGGTAAGGTTATGGGTAGGGTTGGGGTAGGGTTAGGGTTGGGGTAGGGTTAGGGGTAGGGTAGGGGTAGGGTTGGGGTAGGTTTAGGGGTGGGTAGGGTTAGGGGTAGGGTTTGGTTAGGTTTAGGGTTGGGTAGAGGTAGGGTTAGGTTTAGGAGTAGGGGTAGTGGTAGGGGTAGGGAACTGCCAAAGTCCCAAATTACTGAATTACTGAAGTCCTGAATTTTGGAAGTATCACATGTCCACAATGGTTCCACACTTTGACGGGAAAAGCTTGATGACTTTGGGCTGCAGTAAGGATTCTATCTCAGTACTGGTTCACAGCCAAGTTTAATTGTATTTGTATACTTTTTTAAAAGTGGTTCAGCTATACAGACTGAAAAAGGAACACATTTAACATAGAAATATATTTGCATACATAATGCATTAGCTCATAGACTGCTTCTACTGCATGACTGCAACCTGTAGAGAAGTAAAATATAATAAAAACAAAAAATTAAATGTATTTCTATATTCAATAGGGATTTAGTTTTTACAATATTAAACATGCTCACTCTTATAAATTCATTCAATTATGCACTTTACATTTTTCCCAAAACATGACATTATTTATAGGTATGAATTTATCGAGAACATGAAAAACAAGTAGTTTTTTATATGATCTGACTCCTTTGCAAAGCTTGTGTTTATTATGTTCATTTAATGGAACGTTTTTGTAATGAGTCTGAACTGAACCAGACAGCAAACTCAGACTTGCCTTTGAAATCTCACTGAAATGATGTACTCATTACTCACATCAGGTATTTAATTTCTTACTTATTAAAATGTATGAAGAGCTGGTCATTGGACATTTTTGTAAAACTGTAAAAGAGTAATAAAAATAATGAGATTATAAGAGTAAAATAAAAGTCTTAACATGGAATATTATATACACCTTTGGAGAAGGTAGGGAAAAATGGAATGTCCTATGATCTCTCTCTCTCTCTAAATATATATATATGTGTGTGTGTGTGTGTGAACTTTGGTATACAGTGGAGTTCATGGTTGACTCAATGACTGTAAGGTTCTCATGTCCAGTGGCTGCAAAACAAGCCCAAGCCGCATTTTCAGTTGAATTTGGGGAAACCAATTTAATCAATTGTTGTGTTGAACTATTTCAGTTGCTTCTGTTTGATTTTTTCCTTGGACACAGCTGAAAGTCTATACATTTTGATAATAAACCTGATTTTAAATGGGGTTGAATAGTTTTTATTGCAGCTGTAAAATAACCCCTGTTATTTAATTTAACAAATAGTGTACATTTCAGATCTGGTGCAAAGAAGATATGGGCATGGCAAATCAATAAGCATATCAAGTGCATTTGATTGTAAAACAACAAAAAAACAACACACACACACACACAAATAACTGGCCAAACCATATACTCTGCTGTTTAGCTAATATATATTGATAATATTTCTTAATCATTATGGCATATCATTTGTAAGTGTGAAAATGCTTAAAAACTATTGTTACATCGGGCGGAAATTGGTGGTTAAAGGCCATATGAAATGGCATAATAATACCCTGTGTGTCTGCAAATGATATGCTATGGTAGGAATAATTTGTCATGGGTGACTACACTACCTCAAATGAGCAATAGGTCTAAATATATAGACCTGATAAAACGTGATGCTTGAGAAGTGAAATAAATGGATTCCTCATGTGGCCCTGTAACTTGTAAAGCTATAATTGGGGGCATTGAGGTTCTCAAAGGTGAACATAAACTGTGGTTTTATAGCATATGAATTCTATACTCACAGCAAAAATGCAGTAGTCTGTGCAAGTATATATGTAAAATACAAAACTAAAACATAACCAGAGACATGTGTTTAAAATTCTGCTTAAACAATGGCATACATGCACTTAGGTTAAAACTCTCAGATATCTACTTTCTCCAAATACATGGTTTTGTATTTGCATTTTGTATCTGGTTGCAGCTAGTTCCAGCCTACCAATATTTGCAAATGATTAGCGTTAAAGCAGCAATGCACTCATTGTAACATTTAACTTGCAACTGACAAAATCCTTAACAGAAACACTCCATCAATCAGGAGAAATCATCAAGTCTAAATGGAGATATTTGCCTTTTGGTGCAATTAATGCATATTTATGAATCAAAACTTTTTTAAATGTTATTCACAATTCATTTTGTATTGTGTAAAGATTTTGGGTATATTTTAAATACTATATTTAAACGAAATTAGCCAAAATAGATCAGTTATCACATCATATGTGACAACAAATCAGGACTGCACTGCAACATATAGTCACCAACACATGTGTTCTCAGTAGTTGAAACGAGATAGTCTTCATCAGTAGATGTTTAATATTTCTTTCGGAGGTCTGCACCGCTGCATTCCAATTTGAAATCTGACATTTTCTATCCATACTCAAATGCTCTTGGCATCAATGTCCTAGAATTTGTCTCACATCACCTCATTAACTGCTTTTTAACTAAATTATGTTCTGTTGACTCACACGTGCAGAATTAGACATGTGCAAGCAATATTTCCCCAAAAGAATACACTAATGTTACATATACACAGCATGTGTTAATTTTTCTAACAAGCTTGATCAAATGAGAGCCTCTGCTGTGAAAGCAAATATTCTGTGCCAAGAAGTCTATACATAAACCAACAGGCAAGTGCATTCAAGTTAAGCAAAATAATAATGATTTCTGGATACTAATTCGGTATTGCATGACAGATGAAATAAAAAAGCTCATATAAAATGATTATATTCTGTAAATCATGAAGAAATATGTTTTCATATTTCAGCAAGTTTTACAGTCTGTATATGTGCAGATTTTTTCTCGATTTTGCTTATTTTTTGGTTTATGTTTTATCTCTTGATCTTAAGGGTGAACTATAAATTCTCCGGAATTTACAATATTGAATAAAACATTGAAAATCACTAGTTTTCCTAATTCTTGGAAAATTACATCATAAACCAGTTCAGACAAGGCAAAGGGCAACCAGAGAAAAAAAGTTCAAATGCGCAGGAATATTAACGTCATGTTTTATTTCTTCTCTTCTTTGCATGCTTTCTCCATGCTAACTACAGGTACGAAGAACAGAGCTTATATCAATAATCGACAGGAAGCTAAGATGGATGTTGTAGGACAAAGAGTTTTGGATTTCTAATTTTAATTTAATTTGTGTAACAAAATAAAACACACATTTGTTAATTATAGAGGTACTGCTCTTTAAATCTGATCTGAACTGCTTCATTGATCATTCTTCACACATTCTTGCCACTATCTCAAACTAAAATGAACGTATTAACAGTCAACACAAAAGGAAGGTTTACTTTTGGCAGATTGTAGTATTTGATGGACTCACTAAGACACAATGTAGGTGTGTTCCAAGGTAACAGCTAGAAATGTTTAGTCGCATCTGATTATGTTTGTATCAAGACTTCTTAAAGGATTTGGAAGCATAGCAATGCCAGTGTTGTGTATATGCAAAATTACTAGTTTACTATGAAGTGTTCTCCACAAACCAACTTAGCATTATCCAGCATAGACTACATAACTTTATATGTTGTGTTAACATCTTTTATTTAATATACCATCCGAAGAAGAATGAGATGACAGTTACCTGAATATAAGCTCACGTGTACAACTAGTGTATAACTAGTATTATATCAAAATATAGGGGGCGGGGCCGGACTGAGCACGGAGAAGGACGCTTGAAAACAGAGCTCCTCACATCCCGGCCTTTATCAGCTAATAATAAGAACCTCTTCAAATACGAAGCCCTCCAATATGGTACGCAATAAGAAGCCGAACACCCTGGGAGGCTCCCCACACCGCCAAACCGGCACATTGGATGACTACATGTCCACCCCGGGCTCCCGCGGCGGCCTATGGCTGACTGGAAACATGGCACCTGACTCCCCAGGCAGTGAAAGGGTGGGAAGCGCCACAGCACTCTGTGGACACTCTGGCGTTGATCTGGCAAGAGCTGACCGCAATATCGGGGCAAATGCTGAGGAAGGCTGACACCACCAGCCTCTTGCAACACCTCCGGACGGCCGTCCGTGAGGAGATCGCGGCCTTGTGCACTGACTTGTCGGCCGTGGAGGTCCGCGTGGAGGCGCTTGAGACGGAGGCCCAGGCAAGCGGCACACAGCATCAGGCGGCTGAACTAGCTACCACCCGCCAAGGAAACCTGCTCCTATCCCTCAGAAGACAGGTAGAAGACCTGGTAAACCGACTCCCCTGTCGGAAACGGTCACAACTCTCTTTCAGCAGCTTCTGGGCCAAGATCCAGTATGACCGGATCCATAGAGCGTTGGGGCCGCCGCAACCTGATGGCTGCCCCAGAGATGTCCTGTGCTGTCTTCACTCTTACAGCCTCAAAGAAAAGATAATGGCAGCAGCAAGAGGCTCTAACAGCTTCCAGTTCGGAGGCACGGAGGTTGCGCTTTATCAAGACCTATCTAGCCTCACCTTAGACGCCAGGCGCGCCCTACGGCCACTGACAACAGAGGGATCACCTACAGATGGGGTCTCCAGGTGAAGCAGGGGAACACATGGCTCCAAGTCCGCTGGCCAGAAGATGTCCCAAGGATCACCAGAGCCCTGCGACTGCGAATCCTCCGCATACGCAACTGGCTGCTGGAAACCCCGCTAGGGGCGCAGGGGAAGAAGCACACCAGACAGTGCCCCGGAGAGAGGACACCCAGATGGCCCCATAGGGGCTGAAGAATGAGCCAATGTGGGAAGCCTAAGCGGGCCGGGCATCAGCCGGGCCCTAAGGTACTGGGGTACTGCCGGGGAATGGGCCAGCACCTTGCCCTAGGGGGAATAGGTTGCTTTAGGTAGGAAGGGTAGGGAAATGGCAGCAGGACACTGGCCACATGGGGACTCAGACCTTTTGCCCCCCCTCGCCCCGAACTGCACCCTTGAGACTTCCTGCCCACGGACACCCTGTGCCGCTAGGCCCCTCTGTATCTGCCCCCTCCTCTGCCCCCGGAATAGAACAGGGACAAGGAGAGCTCAGGGACCCCACGGGGTTGGGATGGGATTTGGGAGCCCTGGACAATACGGTCGAGATGGAGTGAACTGCCGCTGACCTGCTTCAGGAAACATTGGGGGGGTTGTCGGGCTGGGTGGGGGCTGGAGGGGGAGATGCGGAGGCAGGTGCGGGCTGACAGGGGAGGACATACACACAGGGTTGATGTCGGGTTGGGTGGGAGCTGGGGTGGGAAATGCGGAGACATGTGCGGGCTAAAATGGGGAGGGTATACGCATGGGGTTGGTAGAGGATCAGAACCGCCACCTGAGCCTCGAACAGTGACGGTAACAGTACCCCAAAGGAACACGAGGTGGGGGCAGCATGTATATGTTGCTGAGAGGTCAGCCTGCCCACACCTCTGTGGCCATTTACTCGCTACATACAACCTGGGGACCCCGGGGTAGGTTGGGGTCGTAGACAACCTGGCAGTGCCCTAGGGCACAAGAGGAAGGAATTTGACTGGAGGCCAGGGGAGAGGGAGCGGTAGAGATGGTTAGACAACAGTAAGACCTTACCAAGAGTGCACACACAATCGGACCAACTCACTGCCCTGACCTGTGCCTCGGGCTGCGCACGCACCTGTAGACAGACTGTGGGATACACTAGGGCGGGGTGTAGACGGGGGGACTATTTAACAGAATGGAGAGTTCCCCCCAGACTCACTCCCCTAGGCAGTAAAGTCTGTTATTGTACATAGATATACAGTTTTCCACCTTTCCTTATACACGAGACAAAGACAGAGGACCCAACGCTCACTGACCAAGAAACCCGCCCCCACTCACCCGCACCCCCTAACCCACCGGTCCCTCCTATGGTCCAACAACATCAGGGGCCAGAACTCCCTGGAACGGAGGTCGTACCTGTTGCGGTCCCTGTGGGCGGCCAGGGTGTCAGTCGCCTTCTTACAAGAGACTCACTTCCAGGGTCTAACTGGCCCCATGCTCCGAGATCAGAGATTCCCACTAGGGTTCTTTGCGAACCATAAGGAGGCTAAGAGAGCTGTGGTGGCCATCCTCTTCGCCAACCACACACCCTTCACTTGTACAGAAGAAAAAGCGGACACGCTGGGGCGATACCTGTTCCTCAAGGGCACTATAGTGGATAGACAGTACACCTTCGCCTCTATTTACGCACCAAAAACCAAGCAACACAACTTTATCTCCAAAACACTCAGACTGCTAGAACAATTCCGAGAGGGAATACTAATAGGGGCTGGAGACCTCAACTTACTCATAGACCCACGTGTGGACACTTCCAAAGGACGCAGCTCACTACCACTGTCCTGCCTCAAGGCCACACAAGCGGCACTCAGGGACGCAGGTCTGGTAGATAGCTGGCGAGTCCTGCACCCAGATGACAGGTATTTTACTTATTATTCCCTGGTCCACCACGGGTACAGCTGCCTCGACTACATACTGATAGCACAGGAATACCTCTCCCTCCTGCAAACCAGTGCCATCCTCCCTGTCACATGGTCGGACCACTCACCTATGCTGACCCTCCTGACTTCGCCCCCACACAAACCCAAGGGCAGGCAATGGAAGCCAAATGAACAGCTCTTAACTGATCAAGTGGCCCTGAAAGAGACTAGAACGGTTCTGCGGCACTACTTCGATGATAACAGGACAGGAGAGACCCCACAGTTGACCCGCTGGGAAGCTCACAAGTGTGTAGTCTGGGGACATTTCATCAAGGTCTGTACAGATTGGAAGAAGGCACAGAGCGCGCAAATCGTGGAGCTCCATAGGAAGGCCGCCCAACTCGAGATGGATCACAAAGCCTCCCTCTCAGAGACCACATACCGAGAATTACTGGAGACCCGTAGGGAACTACAACAATTATTATCGCAGAAACTGGCACACACGCCTGTTGGCGAGGATGCTACAACAAAAACAAAGGAGGTGCCAAATCACCAAGATCAAAACACATGGAGGCCCCCTCCCCCAGATCCTTGACAAGATTGTAGGAGAATTCAAGGAGTTCTACGCTAAGCTCTACAACTTACCAGCCAAAGCGACTGCTCCCACGCAACGACGGAGACAAAGACTGACGCAGGAATACCTAGATCAAAACGTGACCCGGACCATCACACAGGAGCACAGGGAGGAGCTGGATGCCCCCATCACAACAGAGGAACTCTCAGCAAACCCTGAAAACCACACACCTACACAAAGCCCCCGGACCGGATGGCCTCTCCACACGTTACATCAAGACCGGAGATATCCTGTTGCCGGAGCTGCTGAATGGCCTGAATTCACTACTGGAAGACGGTTGATTCCCTGGAGACACTCTACTGGCCACCATCGCGGTAATACCTAAAGAAGGAAAAGATCCCCTGTTGTGCTCTAGTTACCGACCTATCTCCCTGCTTAACGCCGACCTCAAATTATTTACTAAGATACTGGCACAGCGCATCGGCCGACTGGTCCCAACCCTGGTCCACCCGGATCAAACAGGATTCATCCCCGGGAGAGAAGCGAAAGACAATACCATTATTATTATTATTATTATTATGATATTTATAGAGCGCCGTCAAATTCCACAGCGCTTTACAATGGGTGGACGAACAGACATGTAGTTGTAACCAGACAAGTTGGACACACAGGAACAGAGGGGTTGAGGGCCCTGCTCAATGAGCTTACATGCTATAGGGAGTGGGGTAAAATTACACAAAAAGGTAAGGATAGTATTAGACTAATGACAGTTGCAGAAGAGGAATCAGTCAGGAGCTATTAACAGTTTAATGGATACGCTTTTATGAAGAAGAGGGTTTTTAACGATTTTTTGAAGGAGTGGAGACTGGGTGAGCATCTAATGGAGGAGGGAAGCAAGTTCCACAGGAACAGAGCAGCCCTCGAGGAATCTTGAAGGCGAGCATCAGAGGTGGGAGTACGGACAGAAGATAGACGTAAGTCTTCAGCAGCTCGTAAGGGACATACTTGTGTATAAGGGAGGATAGATCAGGGCGCTTAACATCATGCATCTCTTTCAAACCACCCAGAGGGGTGGTCTTCTCCTCTCAACAGACGTCGAAAAGGCGTTTGACCGGGTGGACTGGAAATACCTACAAGCCACCTTGCAGGCTATGAGATTTGGACCCCAGATCCTCAAATGGATCTTGGCACTATACACGGCTCCGAAGGCGCAACTACACATAAATGGAGCCCTTTCCCAGGCATTCGACATCCGGAATAGGAAGCGACAGGGGTGCCCTCTGTCCCCCCTTCTGTTTGCCCTGTCTCTAGAGCTATTTCTGGAGGCGGTCAGAAGGGACGGGGGCATTGAGGGGATAACACACGGCGGAAGGGAACACGATCTGCTCTTCTTCATATGCAACCCAACTGTCACACTGCCCAATCTCCTAGCCGCGTTCACCAAATACGGGACAATCTCCAATTTGTAAACTCAATACTGACAGATCAGAGGCACTGCCTCTATCTCTCCCAAAGGAGATGGTGGATATGCTAGCAGCGAACCTCCCCTTCAAATGGTGCTCAAACAGTATTAAGTACCTAGGAATCTAGCTGACGAAAGAACCCTCACGGCTCTATCAGGAAAATTTCCTCCTCCTGAGGTGGGGACGCATGTGTGTCACGTGGTTCGGGCGAATTAGCGCAATGAAGATGAACCTGCTACCACGCCTATTGTACCTGTTCCAAACCTTCCCAATCACGATTCCACCGACTTACTTTCACACCTTGAGCTCCACACTATCTAGGTTCATCTGGGCGACCGGCCCCCCGAGAATTAAACAAACACAATTAGCCCTTCCAAGACACAGAGGGGGAACGGGGCTACTGTCCCTACGAGCATATTACCGAGCCACTCACCTCCTGCGGATCATAGACTGGCACGTCCCCATAACAGACAAGCAATGGGTACTCATGGAAAGAGTGCAAGCTGGCGGCCGAAATCCCACCGGTAATGTGGACTCAGAACCCGACACGAGATGGAGACCTAAGAACACATCCTTACATCGGGGCGATGCTGGGGATTTGGACGAGGATCGGGTACAAACTGGGGCTCACAACAAACCTGTCCTCCCTGACCCTGGTCATTCACAACCCAGAAATCGCAGGGGTCCTGACGTTGTGAGACACCCAAGCCCTACCCCTACTCCTTACCCAATCCTAACCCAAACCCTACCCCTAACCCTACTCCAAACCTTACTCTAACTCTAACACTACTCCAAGTCCAACCCTACCTCTATCCCTACCTTAAACCCTACTCCTAACCCAACCCTAACCCTACTCCTAACCCTAACCCTACCCCAACACTACTCCTAACCCTACCCCTAACAGTACCCAGCCCCTAACCCTACCCCAACCCCAATCCTACCCCTACCCATTTGCCACTTTTCAAAAGGCCAAAGCACTTCGGTACTTCAGCAATTTTGTTTGGTTCGGCACTTGCGAAATTCGGCACTTCAACACTAACGAAATTCAGCACTTCGGCAACTCGGTTCGGTTCGGCACTTGCGAAATTCGGCACTTCGGAAATTTGTCAATTCGGCACTTCAGACATTCGGACATTCGGAAGCATCTGAATGTCCAAAATTCATCCGAATTTCCATTCGGACCGAACTGAATTGCACGTGTCTACTTTCTAGCAACTGGGCAGCAATAGCTGAAGTGAGAAGCTGCTGGCAGCTCACTTTTAGTAGATAAGCCCCTACCCACAGCATGACAAGTAAGAACAAAAGGGAGTTGTTGTTTTTTTAATGTGGCGGCTGCTAGACTTCAGATTTTTTAAATCTGGAACAGGATTTTAAGCTTTTGTGCATGAATATTAAGTATTTGGATATGGATTTCAGCTGTCTGGTAGCACTCAGCCTTGCTGAAATCCATACCAAATTCAGGCTCCGTTGGAGCCTGTTCTGCAAAATACAAACATTGTTAAATAGTCTCAGTAGTATCTTGTCTCACTATCAAATATATATATGACCCCCTCTCAATCTTTAGCTAACCTTTTAATTATGTGTACTTGTGTAGCATGGTCAAACATGTAATGATGCAATTATATATATATTTATGTGTAAGTGTAAGGTATATTGTATGTATAGGAATGTGAATATGTATAAATATGAATAATTATGTATAGCCGTATATGTGGATGGAGGAATGTGTATGTTTATGTTTACATGTGCTTTTAATGTCTGTGTATGCTATTATATTTACATATATGGTATATTTACATACACTTGCAACCATACGTTTTTATATATATATATATATATTTGTTTATGTATATATGTGTATGTTCAGTTATGTGTGCATATAGATTATATGTTCTCGATCCATATGATCCACACCCAAAATTTCAAGCATCAGCTAAATGCATGAGCTGTTATACACTTGTTTGTATTTTTATTTTGAATGATCCATAGAAAATCTTGACTGCTGGAGATATCATGAAATTCTTTCAAACTATTCACTGGGACAAACCGTTTGTTTGAGAAAAAAAATTAACAGGATAAATGGTGTAAACCAATGTTACACTTATCAACCTATGTCATTGGGAAACAAATATAACAGAAACAAACTGGAGCCAATGTGGCTTAAAAGAAAGGTCAGTCAGGACACAAAAGGGAATACATTGGACGTAGCAGTAAGATGAATGAAAGGTAATTTAGGATATAAAAGAAGCAAACAAAACATATAAAGCAACAGTTAGATTTGCTAAGTGAGAAAATGAAAGCCCAACAAATGTATTCAAATTATTTAATAATCAAAAACTGAATGCACATGTTGGTCCATCCAAAACCCACAATGATTGAGTTGACAAGTAAGGATATGACAATTTTTTAATTTTATTTTTTCTATTTACTAAAAAGAAACCAAGAGTTACAGATTTCAGGTTTAAAAATGTTCGAATAATTTTCATCAAAAGGTTGCAATAGTAGAAAATCACCCTTTGTGAGTACGGCATGGATTCTTCAGGATTGCAGGGGGAAGTAACTTTTAGGCATGTTTATCATATTTTTGGTCCTGAATATATTTTAAGAAGATCCTGAAATATTTTGGAGTCAATATCAATTTGTTTTAACATTTTTGAGATACATTTACAGGGTTATGCTCTAAAGTGAGAATACAAAGTGAATGCAAAATGAATTTCAAATGGAAGGTCAAAATAGGCAAACTGTGAAAAGTCAAATATGCTGTAAATTCAGATATTCTGGCCTTAAATGTGAAATTGTTGCTTCATATGTATTTGCATGAAAGGGTGAACTGGAAGGACTTAATACTTTATTACTATTTTACTAGTCAAAGTGCATAGTACAGATTGTGGTGCATTTTGCAAGTGCAAGTGGGAAGGTATTTAAAAATTTATGTTTAAAGACAGTTTTTTTGTGAAAAAAAGACTGCTTTCTCATTAAATAGTAAAAATTGGGAATTTGGGGACACACCCAGAACATGCATTTCTCAGCAGTGCTGCTACCGTAGAGACCAAAATATATACAAAATACAGATTAAATAGTATGACATTATGTATTGTTTGTGGAATATATCTGTAATGACATTCATAACGCTAATTCTTGAAAGAAAGTATGTTCAATGTCTTTTATACTGTAACTAGTTCATTATTTTACATTAAGTTAAACTTTTTTATATATATCTATGAAAATCCTGTCCTTTAAAATAAAAATATAATAAGTATTTTTATTTTAAGTACAATATTTTGAACAATTTAAAGGGACACCATAGGCACTGTATCTGCTTCATCTCATTAAACTGGTTATAGTGTCTGGAGTCCTCTGGTACCATCATTTCTTTCAGCATTAAACAGTTTTTAAACTTTTAATGTTTTAATGCTAAACAAGAGTCCCCGGCAATCCATCCCCTCTGTGCTGCTTTAGCTAATAAGGAAGTATTAGCCTGAGCAGCAATAGGCAGCTGTGATTGGCTGAGAGTGTCAGCTGACTGCTTTTAGCCTGTCAGAGTTCCAACTGACGGTATGAATGGGTATGACAACAAGGAAGTGTGTAATCTCTGCCTTAGCTACACATACTGAAGGGGCCGGACTGTGGGTGCCAGGGACTCTTATTTTGTGGCATACTGCACGAACATGGTGCAACACTGAATGGAGGGACAGTGCCAGGGCACTCCAGGCACTATAACCAATTCAAAGAGATGAAATGCTTATAGTGACTACAGTGTCCCTTTAAGAAACCAGGCGAATCTTAAGTTAAAAATAACTGGATTTTGAGGTGGGGCCTGACCGCCATGCTGACCGCTCTCATGCAGGAGAGCCTCCTTCAGAAACCGTCATTTTTTATTGATAAGCTGGACTCACAGCCCTAATCTGAGCCGGAAGGGAACAGTACTTTGTTCGGGCTGAAGTTGGGACAACAGCAGGCTCTGAGATCGGGAGTTTTAGGGCCCCACAAGGCTTTGGAGCTTGCAGCCCTCTTGGGAGAGAAGCGGGATGGACCGCCGCCGCCCTGCTCACTTACCTGGCTGCCACATGCCTGCTCTGTAGCATGCTTTACAGACCCCTTCCCCCTAGGGGGGGATATCCCGGTCCCCACTGGAGGGTACCGAAGCGGTTGTCAGTGAAGCCTGCTGAGCGTACTCCAATGCCCCAGATCTAAAATGGCTGCCGCACTGACTTGCCTTCATGCGGCCCCCAGAGAAATCCCACACTTCCTCAAAGGGACTGTATAAACTCCTGGCCCCAGCAACACTTGTACCCAGCTACCGGGTTTTACCTACCCAAGCCTCAAGCCAGGCGGCATGGAACTCCACATTGCAGTGCTGCACCCTGGAGGGAGGTCCATTGGCACCGGGCCGCCACGGCCTAATTACTGGCAAGGTCTTGACCAGCTGCTCTCCCATCGGGCTGCGAATGCACAAGATGAATGTCCAGCTCTTGGTTCCCTGGGCCTGGCTCCAGCCGACCACCCACTACTCCACATCCTTGCTCAAGACTGGGAGAGGCGAATGGCGCTGCCATACATGAAGCAGGAAGAGATTGCACAACATGACCAGCACTGGACATGGACATGGACGAACTGTTCATTGGCACACTACCCTGTCTTACAGAGACAATTAACTACCCACTCTATTTTGTGTCTCATGTGGTCATACTCACAAGCTCTCATATGCATGCTCTTGCTGTGTTTGTTAAATTTATGTTCAGCTGGTTAGCCCTTCTTATTTTTGTTTTCTCTACGCTGCTGATCTAAGTTTTTTACCTTGGGCAGGGATCTTTCCATTACACTTTACTCTCAGTGGTATACTTACTATGAGGTGTTTATGGTGCAAGGAACTTTTTCTTCATCTCATATTTTTATCTATAAAGTGTGTGCTACCCAGTTTAATATCAGCCTGTGACAGTTTATTAGCATGTTAACTTAAATTAATATTTACTTGCATCTGACAAGTTATACAAGTCATTAAACTAACCGTACGCATATCTAGTTAAATATAGTATGCTTGCTTATGTTTTGACCTTCTCTTTTCTCGTAGTTAGACATGACAGATTTGCATGATCGTACTTTCATAAAAAATGTGCAGATACTATACTTGACACTGTCTTATGACGTTTGCAACTATGATCTTTGTTTGAGCTGTCATGGTCATACAAGATTGTATGTAATTTTATGCACAAATAAATAAATAAATAAATGGATGTTAGATTAATTCAGTGTGCATTGGGGCAATCTTCAAGCCTACTGTAGCTCGTATTACTTTGTCAGCTGTTGCTCTCATACCCTCTCATATGTTGTACCTCTAAAATAAATAAAATAGAATAATATAATAATAATAATAATAATAATAACAATAAAAACAAAATAATAAAAAAAAAAAAAACGAAAAAAAACAAAAAACAGATCCAGCCAACCCAGAAACTGGCTTCAAAATGCTGTTTACTCTTGTTTTGTCAGAGATTTATACCATATGATTTATTAATCATAGAAGTAGGGACAGCACACAGGATTATCTTGGCCCTTAAACACATTATCGGTGCAATGCCGAGCCCTAGGTGGCAAGCCTCTTCCATGAAATTAAAATAACAATAAGGGATCCTAGCACTCACAATAATTGTTACTGCAGACTTTAATAAAAATTAGTTAGAACTATGTATCAGGTGCACAATATTGTCAAATCTAGCTGTAAGGCCAGTGTAACTGGTTGGGCTATTGCAGCCAAACACATTAGTAGGGGTATTCTTTAAACCCTTAAGGACGGAGCCAAATGTACACGTTGTAAATGTAAACAAAACCTGGCATTTGCGCTACATGCCTGTCCAACCATAATTCATCTCTTTCATAGTATATGCATCCACCCTTAATATATATCATTTTATTCAGGGAAAACAGGGCTTTCATTTAATATGAAATATTTAGCTATGAAACATAACTTAATATGAAAAACATGGGAGAAAATAAGATTTTTTTAAAAAAACTTTTTAGTTCTACATGACATTTTAACTGTCAATGTCATAATACTGTTTGCTTTTACTGCAATAAAATACACATATTTGTATTCAGCAAAGTCTCACGTGTAAAACAGTACCCCCTATGTACATTTAGAGCCGCTTAAAATACTACGTAATAGTACGCCCTCTGGCGTTAAGGGGTTAACATGCGAATTAAAGGTGAATTCAAAGTGAATATGAAATTTGAAGTTCAAATAGCCAAACCGGAAAAATCCTCTAAGTCAGCTCTGCTTTCAGTACAGTTGATCTGGCTTTAAATTTGAAATTTACTTTGAATTCACTTTGAATTCTCACTATAGAGAATAATGCTATATGCTTGGACTGAGGCTCAAAGTTTATAAAGCCCTTTGTTAAAATAGTTTGAAAATAAAGTGTTATTGTGTGATTCAGCTTGTTACTAATTGATTTATACTATGTAAAACATTTTCACAAAGCTTTGCTTTTAATTTTTTATTAATTAGAAACAGTTAATTTGCATAAATATCCTTAACGACTTTCAACATATTCACAGCATTTTATAATTTTCCTATTTATTTAGATAATCTTTTTCACTTTCAAGCATTTTCTTGGTGGAGGCAGTAATATTGCTAATATGGGTGCTCACAGTCGCACAAGAACAGCTGCAAATTTTACAAAGATCCAACAGAAAAGATAACAATCATTTTTATTACTCTGTTTAAATTGCAAAGAATGAAGGTCTGTGGTCCAGAAAATAAAAATAAATAAATGCAAATCATAATATATCAGAGCTGGGTGTTTTTTTGGAAAGATACTAATAAATACAGAAAAGCTTACTGACATCACTTTACATCTGGACTCTGGCCCAATGAATACCAATGGGACGGCAGCTTGTTCTAATCAAGAGTCTGATAAATAGTACAACAAAGCTACCTCATTCTGTGGAATATACTCTGGCCACTTTGCAGAAACAGAAGAATGCAATGCTTTTGAATGTTTCTCCATTGCTTTGTTTGATGACCACCATGTCTGCTGTTGACAACCTAAACTGTTTATTTAATGACCGCTGGTCTTCTTGACCTAACTTAAGAATGGGTGACTTTGAACCATTTATTAGTGATCATTCCAAGTTGGGATTATTGCCTTGTCTTATTTAACAACTGTTCAAATAAGCAGATACCATGTGGGTCTTAAGCGGTTTCTGATAAATGTAAGCTGTACAGTAATATGTATTTATCAAAGCTATATTGCATTCAGAGGTTGGACAACAGACATTGCTTACTGGTTTCACAGAACCTTGTCTCACTGTCCTATAGGGAACATATTTTAAGTGGATATTGCACTCACACAAATGTGGTTTTCCTCTTCTTTATTGTTTAAATACTTATTCTGTTTGTGCTGTATATGTACAAATATTTAGTTTGTATCATTTATTATTTATATGGTTTGTTAAACTGTGATGTTACTTTTAGATTCAGATACGGTTTACGCCCTTTTTTTATTCAATCACTCCGCACATTCTCTCAACTAATAAATTGGAATGCTTTTTTTTCATATAAAATAAAAATAGCATATTGTCTTCTCTTTATTTTTGTAGCATATATACAAAGCAACATGATAATTTAATAGTTTCATAGTTCCCTTGGTGCCTAAGGTTTCTTCTGATATTCCATTCATTTTTGCTTTGTGGTCTATTGTTATTTCATGATTTTTTTATTAAGTGAATCCACACATACATGCATTATATTGTTTTATTTGTGTTTGTTTTTTAAGGACAGACAGGGCATTTTGCTGAAACTCTATATATGTTAAGAAGGCATTACGTATGAGTATAATATTCACAAACTAGAAGAAAAAAAATACATATTGTCTTATTAGTATTTCTACCACCAATAAACCTAGACCTATTTCCCAATTTTCCCTAATGAGTCACATCATTATTGCCATTCTAATCATAACCCTTATCTAATAAACTTACGTAGGGTGAAAACGTTGTTCTGTATCAGAAAAAAATTGGGTCAACAGAATTTAGATCATGCCGCTGTTCTGGAGGACATTCGGACAGCTAGAACAGCAGGAAAAATTCTGTCTATGATTGTGTTGACATGCAAAAATGGCTACAATATTGCCTTGTGGAATGTGCAATGTAATATCAGGCATTTTTGCAATAACAATTCAGAATTGTCAAAACTAGACTATTATATATCTGATTTAAAAATGATTGGTTGTAATCTTTTATTCTTTTTACTATCTTGTAATATGAAAACTAGGGCATCTATCCAAAAAGGAAATTAAAATGAAAATGTTTATGGGCAACAGACTATCCACTCATTCCTTCCATTCTGAGAAGAACAAAGCTATTCGACACATCCAATCTGTAGTTGTTAGTGACTGTCCTCAGTATGGAAAAAAACACAGTGCCCTATCTGCTGATACCAACTGCATCTGCGGAGGGAGCAGGCAACTCAAGACTCATTTAGGCAGGGCAAAAATACTACAATAAAAGCCATTTTAAAAAAGGGTGGATGCAGCACCCTTTGGGTGAACAAAGGGTTGACATGTCAAAAACTGGCATTACTGTGGCTCTACGTTTCTGTTATATCCCTAAATGAAATAATAAATGACACTAGCACCCCTATTATTATCCAATGCTCACAGCCCAATGGGGAGTCAATGTCAATTATTTCCACCACGCCCAAAGTGGAATTACAAAGTGTACTGACATCCTGTGTGTAAAGGATGGTGTGTGGAAAGCTTTCTTATCTCCTGCCTCAAGAGTTAACTAGCTCTCACACTATGGTGGAAATGCCTTGGAATCCTCTCACAATGCTTAAGTATGGTTTGCAGTAAGGTTTTGACCTCCTGTACTATCAACACCACACCCAGGCAGGGTGGGCTGCCATCAATGTGCCTATAAGAAATGAAAAGCATGCTGCCCAGTATGAACACTCCATAAATATGGGTAAAGGTGCATGTGGATTTTCGTCTGTGAAAGTAGAAGCTGTTGCAAAACTAGCCAATGGTGCCAATACTAGTGATGTTGATGGTGGTGATATTGGTGGTGGTGGTACCAGTAATGCTAGTGATGGTAACATTGACAGTGGGTAAGCTACTTGTGCTTTTGGTAGGATATGCAGGTGGCAAGTGCAGACTAGCTGATAAAGAAAATAATGAGCTCCCTCCTGTCCTTCTTAAACTCTTCTCTTCTAATTTCGTTGGCTCATCATACTCATGGTCGTGTAGCTCCTTGGTCAGAGTTAAAAGTGATATGTCTGCAGTGATGTGGGAAACAGAATGCAGATTCATCATTGCCACCAACCCCAGGTATACAGGTATAGCAAGGGTAAAACACACCCTTATGAACGCTGATGCTGTCTCACTTAGCTGCAGTCACAGCGTCTGGAAAAATTCTGCATGAAATATAGATTGGATGGACCTTGCTTGTGTCCATCTTGGAAAACTAAGCTGTTTATTCACCCATTCCCATAAAGAAAATAAAAAAAATATTTTCTATTCCATCCTCCTTTTCTTTCTGGTGCCAGGAATGGCACTTTGAATCAAGAACATGTCCAGGTTTGCACGAGTCAGTTCTCCCAAGATTATGGCAAGTGGAGGCTCAAAAATCGGAATTTCAGCTGATTATTACTATCTATTATAGTTCAGCACAAAATGAATCTCCAAATCTAGTCTCTACATGCTGGGCTGGCACCTTTCTGAATAATGTTTAGGTTCTCTCAACACTAACTGT